CCATTTTGAGCGATACGTCAAATCATGAGATAAACTATATTGGTTTTGCATCATTCGCTTTCACTGCATAGGAATTGGACCCGAGTTCGTATAATTGAAATATAGATCGGCCTTAATGTTGGGATACCTTGGCTAAACCAAAAGATTTGATCCCAAATTTGATGTAAGACAAATAACAATAATTTTTCCATAAAAAATCAAATATACGATATGATTTCGATGATATTTCTAATTTGATTTAAAAAATAATCTTCCCCAATGATATTCTTAACTAATAGAGTTATATTTTTGTAAAGATAAATCTTTAAAATCTTTAGTTAAGATTTGCCATCTTTAAACAAGATCGAATCTTATTTCTTCTAATTTTTCTATAATTTCTTCTTTTTTCTTTTCATTGAGTAGATTTTGACATGTGATAACTTATAGATATGCAAAATATTCCTAACATAATCAAATTTATTTAAATAAGAGATAAACTAAATTAGTTTTGTGTCATAATTCAAAGGCACCCACTTCATATGGGGCATTATCACCCTTTTTTAAGTATTTTAGCTTCATTCTTCAAGCTCAGTATTGTAAGATTTCTTTTGACATCTTAGTGGTTGTTTGACCAAACAATGCATATATTCACCTAAAGCTGCATACCAACCAAGATGCAGATCTCCCTGGAAGCATGTACCAACCAAGATGTAGATCTCCCTAGAGGCATGTCATTATACATATTGGTTTGTCATATGATGCGGCACCAATTTATTTTGTTAAATATTTGAATAAATTTAATTAATTTAGGATTCTTATGCATATGTCATAAGTTCCCATAACGCAACATATAGAATAATTCGAATCTAATTTCATATATTAGAAGCTAAAAAAAACACAAATGTGGAAATCATGGAAGAAATCGATTATAATTGAAGATTATAAATCCTGATTCAACATATTGCTACAAAGATACAAAACTATCATTGAAAAAAAGAAGATTATTTTCAGGTTAGATTCAGAATGTTTTCTTTGAAGAAGCAAAAACAAATGATATATTTGACTTGATGTAATTGTTTTTTATTAATATATTTTTTTCTTATAGTTGGGCCTATAAAAGAGATTAGAACATTGTGTAATGAAGATCGTCATAGAATAAATATGTAAATTATTATTCTTTTCCCACGTTCTTTTCCACATGCATGAAATGCAAAGGTGTGAGATTTTCATACTAAGAGTTTGCTCCCTGAGCGAGAGCGAGTTTGGTAGTCATCCAATTTTATTCTATTGTCTTTTAAGTATCATTTATTCCTCTCTCTTTTTGTTCTCTATCCAAAAAATGTTGCTACTCCTATAATATTTGATTTAGTATCAGAGCTTATCAAGATATTCTGTAATCAAAGCCAATTTATAATTCTTGAACTCTAGATGAGTAATGAGGGACCAATTTATTTTGTCCCTAATTTGAATAAATTTGATTAGTTTTGGATTTTTTTCGTAAGTCATAAGTTGTCATATAGCAACATCTAGAATAAATCTGATCTAATTCCTAGATCACTCAATGAGCACAAAAAGAAGAAAATGTGAAAATTATTTAAGAAATCATGATTGTGATTGAAGATTACAAATCCTATTTGAAGATATTGTATTTATCGCTACATAAAACTATCATCAAAAGAAGAACATTATTTTCAAATCAAATGCTGCATGTTACCTTCTTCGAACAAGAAAATAACAAATGATTTATTTGACTTGATGTAATTGTATTTTCTTCCTATTTCTATATTTTTCTTTTTTTCTTGTAATTGGAACTATAAAAAAATAGAATATTGTAATAAAGATCATCCGAGTAAATTGTTTCCTTTTCCTACATATATGTATGAGCGGTGCGAGGCCACATTTGTTTTTCCGATGGTATAATTCTGTCATCCGAGGTGCGAGGCCTTTATTCAACAAGTTAGCTCCTTGAGCAAGAGCGAGTCCAATACGGTAGTTATCTAATTTTGTTTCCATTGTCTTTCAATTATTATCTATTTCTCCATTTTCATTTCTCCATCCAAAAAAAATATTGATACTCATCCTACATCAGATTTGGTATATCACCATATCAGATCTTTTGGTTTAGCCAAGATGTTCTATCATTAAGACCAATCTATATTTCATGAACTCGAGGTGAGTTTGTACACAGCAGAAGCCTATAATACGAGACCAATTAATTGTCATTTATTTGAATACATTTGATTAGTTTAGGGTTATTTTGCATAGGTTATATGTTGTCATATAGCAACATCGAGAATAAATCTAATCTAGTTTCCTAGATTACTCAATGAGAAGAAAAAGGAAGCAAATGTGGAAATCATGAAAGAAATCATAATTGAAGATTTTATGAAAATCTATCGCTACATTAATGGAAAACTATCATCAAAAGAAAATTATTTTCAAGTCAAATTCAGGATGTTATCATCTTCGAACAAAAAAAACAAATGATTTATTGACTTGATGTAATTGTATTTTTTTCCTTATTTACATATGTTTTTCTTGTAATTGGACTATAAAAAAACTAGAACATTATAATGAAGATCATCGGAGAATGGATCAATAAATTGTATTCTTTTCCACAATATGTATATATGAGTGGAAGGACCTTAGGAGCAAAGTATGCAATTTCGAATAATACTGTCCGGTACGGGCGGTACGTACCGATCCATCAGCTGATCGATACACGGACCGCCCATTATCGGACGGAATTATATATATATATATTTATTTATTTATTTATTTATTTATTTAAAAGGCGACATCGCATCGCCTTTTTCGGCGACGTCGCCTTTTCCGACGAATATTTATATATAAATATTTTATATATAAATATATATAAAAACTTATATATATATATACCGAACGGTATACCGTTCTGTATACCACTCGGTATACAGTATCGTACCGTATGGAGCTAATGTCGAAACTCCGGTACGGTACGAAATTGCGAACCTTGCATAGGAAGCCACATTTATTTTTCTAATGACATGATTCAACCACCCACGTGTGAGATCTGTGAAGGTGTGAAGCCTTCATCTTAGGAGTTTGCTCCTTGAGATATATTTCTTTTTATTATCTTTCAATTATCATCTATTTCTTTTTTTCCATTCCTTTATCTAAAAAAATAGATGCTACTCGTCCTACATCATATTAGATTTGATAATTATCAATAAATAAGAGCATGCATCAGTAAGTTGAGTTCTTCACCATGTGGTGCAAGGCAACAGTTATTTTTCTAATGGAATGATTTCATCGTCCACGTGCGAGACATATGGAGTTGCAAGGTCTTTATCCTGGTAATATTCTCCTTGAGCCGAGAGCAATTATTTTTGTTGTCTTTCAATTATTATTTTTCTTTCTCTCTATTCATTTCTATATTATTAAAACAATTCTTATTGCCCGTTGTCCTAGAACAGATTTAATGAGTTTTTGATTTAGCCAAGATGTTCTATCATCAAGATTAATCCATATTTCAATCAAGGATTACAATT